GTTATCAGGATGTCAGACTGCTGGTGGACTTACCGTTCTCTCCTGGCTGGGCTCCACTGTTATCACCATGTGGTCTTTGTGCATCAGACATACTGTATCCTCCAGGGCAGGAATCCTTCCAGCTGTGACACACACACACACACACACACACACACACACACACACACACACACACACACACACACACACACACACACACACACACACACACACACACACACACACACACACACACACACACACACACACAACCCAAATCTGATCCATCTGATCGACTTTAGTTTTTTTTCTGCAGGATTTTTGACTTGACCTTTGTGGCTTTGCAGTGATTTCCAGACTGTTTGGTGGTTGTGAATGGTCCTGGGTGAACAGCTGTAGGGGGGGCTTTGTCAGATAAGGATGGCATTAGGTAAGGCCATTAGTGTCCTGTGGATTATTGTAATCCAGCCTCTCTTTCACTGCTGGCTTTGTTGCTCAGTCTGCAGTTGGTGTCGTCCGGTTTGGAGCAGGTTGGACGATGGCTCTCTACGTGCAGCGTTTCGCGCTCACCCTGCTTCTTCTGGGAGTTAATGGTAGGATTTCAATCTTTTCACTCTTTCCCATTTATGCTGTACACATAATCTTTGTGATTTAGAAGTGTAACAACTTAAAGTCACCTCAACTGGACAATATGTTGAAGAACCCTGAGTAACTCTAATGTCAAAGGACAAACTTAGGTGACAAATATATCCGATTGTCTTCAGTTACCTTTGAGATAATATTTTAGTTTATTTTTCTAAAACATTGTATGTACTTGATTCTCTGCATCGGTGTTGATTTGCTTGTTTTTAAAAATGGTTAAATTGACGGATTAATGCACATTTTTTGTTTACTAGAGCGAATGAATGCCATGTCCTGACAGTCTTTTTTTCTCCCCTGTGTGCTTTCTGTCCATCGTCTGAACAGTGATCATCAGCATTCAAGCTCAAGAGGTAAGAAGAACCCTCGGATTGTAATCTTATAGCATTCAAATCAAATGTGTTTTATTCATTATTTCAGTTTAGTGTTAAAAAGAAAACTAAACAAAAATAAACTTTTAGATCAGCCACACTACAGACATTTCAGTCTAGAGTTTAGCAATTTCTCCAGAGTTGACATTGGTCAATGTCAAATGATTTTTGTGAAATAAACACTGTACAAATCACTATGATGAGACTTTAGAAGCTTCATTCTCTTTGTTGCATAATTGTTTTCTCATTTTTACATGAAATTATTATTTTTATTTTATAATTATATATGTTTTGCAAACAAGCTGTATATTAAAACAACAGTATTTACATATATTTATTATTTCTGATTACCCACATTTTTCTGGATGTATTGCATCTATTAATTGGGTTTGTGTGTGTTTATATGAGGTGGCAGCGTCTGAGGCTTGGACTGCCAGGTCCTGCAAATGTGACTGTGAGGGAGGTGAGACTCCGACTGAGTTTTCCTCCATTGTGACCGGCTCTCCCAAGGTGAGAGGAGTGGACTGCATGCCAGGTAAGAACTATAAGTATCACTTAACCTAATTTTTCAGTTTTCTAATATAGCCACACTTTTCTTCTATTCGTTGATTAATTGTTCTGGAAATGAAGTCAAAAGAGGCTAAAACCACCAAATGTGCTGCATATTGCTTAAAAATGATTTAAATATGTAATTGAAAAATCCACAAACCATCTCTGAGGGACAGCTTTAATGTGCGTGTGATGCAGACAGAGAGAAGGGGAATCTCTATATTTTTACTTGTTCATGCATGAAGGCATGAGACTCCAGATTTGACACCACAGGGTGGACATGCTCCACTGGACATCCTCAGAGGAGATGATGCAGATGGAGCCATGAAAAGAACCAGGAACACCTACAACAAGGCTGCACAGTCCTCTAAATCTGCTATGAAATGATGGATCATTTAGTCTGCAACAGCATCTTTATCTACATGAAAACACAATATAGATAGTCAAGGAATATATCTGTTCATTATTGAGCTTAGAAACAGCTCTTGGTCATCTTTATCAGCAGCAGATGGAAATCTGTCTTTTTCAAATCATTTTAAGGACTCTCCATGAAATCTGAAAACCTGTTTTTAAGATCTCCGCAAAGCAACACACATCCAAACAAACAAAATGACTCCATTGATTTAGCTAGCGATATAAAGCTCACTTGAATCGTGTCAGGCTTGAAGAATGGAGAGAGGCAGAGCAGATGGAGAAAGGGTTTTCTTTATAGTGAACCAATGAGTGCCATCTGAGCCACAAATCACATGGCAACGGGTGATGGACAGGAGAAAGAAGTTCAGCAGATATTCATTATCTGAGAGCATGATTCTCAGATTACGGGGCCTGTAATAGCCTGTGCCAATTGCACAATAACAGAAACCAGCAATTATCACGACATGGACCTGGTAATGACAAAAGATGAGTCAGAAAGAGATTCCTGCATGGCATCAGATTTTGTTCCACCTCCATCCATCGTGTTTCACCATTAATTCCGCCATCTAAATATGTTTGATTCTTCTTTTGAAATAGATTAGGCAGGACTATAAAGTAATTTGCATTACTGTTATGTAAACACTTATCTCCTGACTCACAGAGGCACTTCTGTTAGCGCTGCTGTACAGTACAGGGATTAGACAGGATATGACCCTGTAGGCTTAAGCCAGTAGTAAACAAAAGCGTAGCAGGATTCTACTTCACATATCCATAGCTGAAACTTTAGGGGGAAGCAATCTCAGTCGTGCAGCGCTCTGATCTCCCCTATCCCTGTATTTATAATGCCTTTTTAGTGGAAGAGAGAGGACAGATTACAGATGAAAACACAGGAGCAACACGGAGCTAAAACTGCGGAGTGTAGAACACAGCCATCTGTCCGCCTGCCGCCCTAATGGACATCACTGATCTCTCACCGTGGAGAATTAAACTGCAGGCTTTTAGGATGGATATGGGTCACACCGAGTTCTCTAACAGCGGGGGCTTTGGGAGCGGGAGAGTGTGAGGATGGGGAGAGAGGAAATGATAGAGGGATGGAGAATTAAGCACCTACAAAGGCTTATAGTGATGATCATTTCCTGCTCAGATATTCTCAGTGTTTTGCTGCTTAGCTGTTGGCAGACATGTTTGTGTGTCTGACCTTGAAATTCATGCTGCAAGAGAGTCTTAACAAAATGCTATTTCTTCATTAACTAAAACTATTAACTTACAAATAAATGTTTAAGTTAAATAAAGTTCATAAATCTGTCTCTCTTGCTCCTGCAGAGTGTCCGTACCACAAGCCTCTTGGATTTGAGGCCGGGTCAGTGAGTCCGGACCAGATCACCTGCTCCAACCAGGAACAGTACACCGGCTGGTTCTCCTCCTGGGTCCCCAGCAAGGCCCGGCTCAACAGTGAGGGCTTTGGGTAAGTGCTATTTCCAGGTTGTAAACAGCTTACCGACATACTGGTATAAAAAAAACAGGCAATGCAAAAATAGATATGATAAATGGAACTGTGGACTATAAAAAAAGAGTGGTCTGCTTAGATTCCATGCTCTGGTATTGTATGTTGCATGCACTGTCACACCATCATGTCTTAATTGGACCCCTGACATCACATGCAGTGTTTGTGTTCCTCCTGCAGGTGTGCCTGGCTCTCTAAGTTTCAGGACAACAGTCAGTGGGTGGAGATCGACCTGATGGAGGTGAAGTTGGTGTCAGGGATCCTCACCCAGGGCCGCTGTGATGCTGATGAGTGGATCACCAAGTACAGCGTCCAGTACCGCACAGACGAAAAGCTCAACTGGATCTATTACAAAGACCAGACTGGAAACAACAGGGTAACTAGAACCCAGTCAAACCCTATTTAGTGAAGCAATGTAAAAGTCAAGTTACACCGATTGGCCTGATGGGGATCTCATCATTTAATATGTATTGTACACTTTTTTTAACTTTTAGATTATAGATTTGTGTCTGCAGTATATTCAGTCAGTTTAAATCCACAGTAGTGTAAATGAATCCCTCCTGACCCTTCATTTGTTTCCCTCTCTCAGGTGTTTTACGGAAATTCTGACCGCTCCTCGTCTGTGCAGAACCTCCTGCGGCCGCCCATCGTAGCGCGCTTCATCCGCATCATCCCCCTCGGGTGGCACACACGCATCGCTCTGCGCCTGGAGCTGCTGCTTTGCATGGACAAATGCAAATAAACCTCTCCTCCCGCCATCCCCGAGGCCTTCTCCCGAAACCTCATCCTAATTCCCACCATTGTCTGAGTGTGTGGTCTCGTTATATTCACAGATGTTGCCCCCTCCAGCTAAATGTATAAAACCACAAATTGAAGACAAGACCTTCTGATTTAAAAAAACAATTTGACTTATGTGATTTCATTAACTGTTCATTTGATGTGCTCAAAGAGCTTCCATTCTCCCCTCTCTCTATTGTCTGTGTTGAACCAGCCTCTCACATCGAGGCTTTCATTTGGTGCGTTCTCAATAGATTGCTGCATTTGCAAAGAAATGGCATAAATTCAAAGAAATAATCAGGCATGGAGAGGGAGAGGCAGCGTTGCTATGGAGGTGGTATCCAACAGCTAGACGCAAGCTCTTCCAAAAATATTTGTGTCCTCCTGTGAAATCCTGTCTGCTTCTCCTGTAACAGTAAACAAGAACCCTTCACTCTCTCCTCTGTATAATCCTTCAAAGATAAGGCTGGTGATAATCAACATTCTTCTTACTGTCAACAAATCCACAAAACAATTAATTGGATCCTAGTTTTGTTTTTGGGACCAAAGCCACATTTAATATCTGTTGTATAATACATATCAATGAGCCACCCTGTTGCATATATGTGACCTAACCATAGATTACTTTAGTTATATTGAGTCAATAGCAAACACATTATCCTGCTGCTCAAAGTACTCAATGTGTATTGATCTGCAGCTGAACATCGACTTTTGGGGGGACCAAAATAAACAAAATAAAAAGGATACAATTAGGTTTACATAATTGAGTGTGGTTTTACTGCCAGAGACAGAATAAAAAAAGCCAAAAATAACACTTGCTTTGCTTCTCTTAGAGATTTGTTGATAATAAGGAATCTGTAGAATAATAAGACTTGTTCTTTCAAAACGCCTGTGATGATGTTATTCCCATTTTCTATTTTAGTTGTAACAATTTTAACCTGAAGAACATTTTTACATTCATCTTTTTTCAGTGTGTCTGCAATGTAAAGATAGAGGGATGGATAATGTGCTTGTTGTTAACTCCTGATTTGTTGCATTTGTTTGATTTAGTTTCCCGTGGTGCTTTGAAAACTAACTATTTCATTGTATTTACTCTGAAGATGTTTTCTTAATTGTATCTTTAAACTATTTCCTGGATTAAATTAACAATTGTTTCATGTCTCTTCTGGTGTTGTGTCTGTCTGTGCTACAAAACAAACATATGAGCCATTCAAAAATGTACAGTTGGCTTTTATTATGAGACCCTATCATTTAAAGTAGAATGGTCAGTATAGATACACTCTTTTATTTCTATTTACACCCTGTAAGAAGTGGGAAACAGCTAAATGAAAAAAGAACGAATGTTTCAGGAAACACATTCATATTCATGAACAAAAGGTCTTCTTCTCATCTCAGTGGTCAGTGTATGTGGCTTGCATGGGGTTCATGTCTTCGTTTCCATCTGAAGTGTTGAGTCAGAAAGCTAATATAAGGCTTCGGGTCACTGGCAAGGCAAGCTTTGTCTTCACAATGTCCCATTAATAGTAGAGACAAACCCACTTCAGCAGTCATTTACAATCAGTAGCAACCAGGATTCTCAATAATAAACAATACTGGGCAGTTTTATAGCCCTGGGTCATTTTCAAGGTGAAATTGTAAATAAAAAGTGTATTGCAGAGCGATGTCTTGATATTATATGTGGACACTTTTCTTGCTTTCATCACAGTTTCCTTATGACAATTATTCTGTGCTATTTGGCTCCTTTTAACTTTGCCAGAACAATCTGCATCAGTCTCTTTCTGAATGTTATTGCCATATAGTCAATTCGTTCATTCCTTTTTTGCTTGTTCATTCATCCTCTCAATAGATGAGAAACAAAACACATGAATTTCTCAAACATTTTCTCTAAAGTCCACAGATGTCTAGAGTTTTTCCATGCATTCTTCTTTGTTGTCTCCTGTGATATAAAAGTTTCTCCACTAAACTTTAAAACCACAGAAGAAGGAGAAGAAGAAGAAGAAGAAGAAGAAGAAGAAGAAGAAGAAGAAGAAGAAGAAGAAGAAGAAGAAGAAGAAGAAGAAGAAGAAGAAGAAGAAGGGTTGAGATGAGACTGGAAGGAAAATGATGCTGTATATTTTTCCTAGGCCACTAACAGTGTTTTGTTCTATTTTATTTGTTTGTAATCATCCACAGGTCAGTAGACAACAATTAAATGCTTTTTATGAATAACCTAGTTAAGTAAAATCATCCCTGATTATGACTATCAATATTAAAAAATAAAAGTTGTAATGCAAATACAGTAGCAAAACCAAATTCAGATTTACAAAAGGCATTTCCAAACACTTTGAAAACACAAGCTTTTAAAATGCACATGAAAAATGTAAACATTAAAAGATAAGTCTTGTGTTATTTAACATCTTTGTTAATTTTGACCAATCCCATGAAAAGAATAAACCCACAGCTGGGGGCATATTACTTCAGGTACCAGTGAGTATTGAAATACAATACGGGAGCCAGTTGGAGTAAGAAATGTTTGCGTGTTAAGGCTTATTAGATACCAAAACAATGCACAAAGGTTATAACACTCTGAAACGGTCTTATTTTAAATCACTGGAAAGTGATCATTGCCGTAACTATTATATTGTTATTATTATTATTATGATCTGTAATATCAAAAGTTGTGAGAAAAATAATTACGAAATGAAGTGTTCACATTACAGGCTGCGAATATAATATGAATAATTCCACACAATGTTGTTGACATTTTTTTTCTGGACTTGATCATCAGATCTTCAAAACCAAAACGTCAGGTCAACAGTGAGTTTGTTGGAACTATTTTCAGCTGCGGATTAATACACAGTTGGTTCTATGGTGAGCAAATACAACAGCGGGACAGCATGAGGGATTGATTCAAATTAAACTACAGTGCCCATGTTTATGGTAATTGCTCAATTATGTATTCCTATTAGTTTTATGAAAACGGCTTAAGATTTGTTAATATATTAAATATATTATTGTTTTTTTTGTTTTCATGGGATTTGTCAACAAACAAGAAATATAAAAAACCAGCAGACTTAACCTTCCTTACTTAAAGGTTGTATGGTGATGTATGCCTTTTGCAGAATGCTCTCATCCTATTTTGCACAGTTACACGTTGTTCTTGAGTTAGTCCTGCCTCATTTCATAAGGCTTACTTTTCACCACCAAAGGCCGCCAAAGTCTTGATGTTTTTTACCGGCTGTTAGGGCTGTAGACCAAACCAACAGCACAGCAGGTGGCAGCACGGCGCTGGAAAGCTCTTGTCACTGATAAATGAACTGAGAATGGGGCTCATTTAAAAAATGGTGACACCAAGAATGGGACATATAATGATCAGACATTTTCTTATGTAAAGCACAGAGCCTAACAGTCTCACTATTGATGTTCTGCTACCTAACCCTATTGACAAATAGCCCAACTTGTCACAAAACTCCAAAACTTACTGTAAGTCATGATGGTGAAGCGCAGATTTAGTCTAGCTGTGAAGTGAAATATATAATTTTTTTACTTTGGGCAACAATATTCATCAATATTTCTATACATGTGGATGAAACAAATAGAAAAACTGGTCAAAATAAGATGATAAAGCGTGAAAATCGGTAAATAACCTATCAAATTGAACAAAAAAGGACATTCACCATTATTAAATATAATTTTTGACATATTGTATTATTAACACATACATATCTATGCTTTTCTTTGTGTCGAAACTAAAGCTCTTGCAATTACACATTTAATTCTATATTACCTTACAATATTCCCATATAACCTACATACTGTGTCATTTATAGCTTATATCCTTAAATTTAAAACAAATACATATTCAATAAATAATGTTAATATAAACTTTTTTTTTGTTCTTATCAAATAACAGAGCTTGAAAACATTTGAGTGTCTTGGCCACCGGCCTGACAGAAGTCGCTTTGCTGTAGAGTCCTGTGAGCAGAAGATGGCAGCAAAGAGGCCACTAAAGATCATCTGTCCTCTCTTTGTTACACACACAGTCACACACAGCTGATACAGTACTGGCATCCCCAGACAGAGTGGGCCATGTCCTCTCTTTGCTTCCCTTTGTTTCAGTGTCTGGTCATTGTATTTTCCAGAAAACAGATGACTATGTTTCTGAATGAAGACTAGATCCAATGAAATAGGCTTTCATGTAAACTTGTACTACAGTACCATGATGTCTGCATCTGGCAGATGCTTCCAGGGTAGAGACGTTTAGGAGGTGGTGTAGTTTTGTGGGCGGGGGGTTTACAGCGCGGTCTCCTTCAGGTCATTGAGGTTTGGCATCCTGACACGGGACGCTCGGGTAAAGGTGGGTCCGTTCTGCCCCGGTTTGATTCCCAGTTGTTCGGGGGTGAACTGAGCGCCATCCGCCCTCTGCAGAGCAGACACGTGCCAGCTGGACTCGATCTGTCCGGGGAGGGGGTAGCTGGGCTTGCGGCTCTTAGGCTGAGCAGAGCTGCTCACCCCGGGGTGCCCCCTGCTCTCGGCGTGCCCTCGGCCCTCAGGGTAACACGACTTGGAGGAGGGCTGAGGGGGGTTGGGGAGGGGGGCTTGGAAGCGCAGGTCTGGAGGAGGAGGAGGAGGCTGTCCTTGATTTGAGGAGGAAGGGGAGAGGTGAAGGAGCCTGCGGAGGGACTTGAGTGGTTGACTCTGTGAGGTGGGAAAGGGAAACAGATAATGTATGACTCTAAAGGAAAAGGACCTTTCATTTTTTTAAACAAATATAAAACCCAACAGTGTGTTTATCCCTCTCCAAATCCTCAATATTGTCCTACCCTTTCTGTGTTCTTTCCTACTGGAGACTTACATGTCAAAATTAAATAAAGGAATACTTGTTGCAGGAATTTTTAGGCTACATAACAAAAATTATTATCTAATTTTAAATTCTAGTTGAACACTATAAGGAGCTGAAATAGACCACCCAGTACAAGCCTGAACAAAATACTACGGCCCTCTTTATTATATATTATTTGATTTTGCTCTATTGAAAAAAAGGCATCTGTTACCATGAACTATCAATGCAATTTGTGCACTGGACTGCCTCTCTACAAACAATACATTTGCAACAAGTGGACAACATTCACAAAGGGCTGGCATTCAAATGTATTTTATATGCATATACAGTATGTATAGATATACTGTATATGTAGAATGCACTGCTAATGGTAAAATATTGCTATTTTCAACTCAAAAAGGCTCAACGTCATCTAAGCCACACTTCCTGCTGATAACGTCTGTATTTCGTTATAGATAACTACATCTTTCACAGTTCATAGGATATCATATTCAGAATCTTAATAATGTATGTATTTAAAATGTCTGTTTTGGCTTAAAATCAACATGATATTATGATAAGGTCAAATTGTGTTCAGTTTGTAGCTTCATACCTGAGAGTGTGAGTCCACTGGTTTGTCTGTTTGCCAGTCATTAACTCTCTCTCGCTCCCTCCCTCTTTCCCTCTCTCTCTCCCTTTCTCTCTCTCTTTCTCTCTCCCGTTCCCTCTCTCTCTCTCTGTCCCTGTCCCGGTCCCGGCTCTGTTCCCGCTCCCGGTCTCTGTCTCGGGATCTCTCGCGGTTTTTCCGTCGGCTGCCGTGGTGAGAGGAGGATTTGGAGCTCCTCTGCAGCGACAGGTGTTCTTGTCCGTTTCCGGGAACCTGATGTTTCACAAAAATACAGGAACATAATTAACAACTATCAAAAACAATGACATCATGTTAACTTTATTTCTTTCTATGGCAATGTCACATCTTGAATCCCAGTGAGGTTCTCCATGCACCCCTCTGCAGCACCAGACAAACACGACGCTGTGGTGACGGTGACAAGTGATGAAGTTACAGAAAATAAGGTCTACAAAAGTTTTATGTTTTGAACTAACTGTAACAAATAGTTGGGCTGCAACTAAGACAATGTTATCTATTAAGGACTTCTTTTAAAAATATACATTATTTAATTAAACTTTCATCAATCATTTGTGGCCATCATACATTTTCAGAAGTTAAGTTCTTGTTTTGTGTCTCATCAGCCATGATCAATCATGTTTTATACTAACAATAGCAAAAACAAAAAGCTAATAAATTACCTGTATTATAATAACAATATAGATGATCAGAGGATCATCTATGATTTAGATATTATATGAGAAGAAGTGTTTTAGAGATCCTGCCACTTGGATTTTGTCACCACACTAGTTGTTTTCCCCTGTTTCCAGTCTTTGTGCTAAGCTAAGTTAAACTACGCAGCTCCTCATCTAACTCTCTGAAAGAAAGCAAATCAACATAAGGTCAAACTATTCCTCCTCCAGCACAGTGCAGAGTCCAGAGTTGGGTTAAGGAGCTTTTGAATGTTGTCAGTATGTCCATGGATCTCATGTGATAAAATGACATTTGAATTGAAACGAATGATACTCGACGTGCAGATGTGTCGCCCTCACAACAACCAGCATACATGTCTCACAATGAAATATGAAAACAAGGCGACCGCATATGACACACATTATAGCAGAAACATAATGGTTGCACAGACGCCGTGCAGTATTCGACTCAAAATGTATTTGAAATCCTTTCAACTTGAAACGATTCTCAGTCACTCAATAATGAAGCGTTTGAGAGGATTTCAAAGCAGGTCATTCTGGTGAGTGGGGTGTGAGTTAACATGCAGCCGTAGAGTTGAGGTTAGATTACTGGTGAGGCAGGGTAGGGCACGGTAGGCTGGTGCTGTACCATGGGCGAGGCCACTACAGGGAGGACTTTGACAGCTGAGTTGTGCTTTAAGCTATTCTTAGAGCTAAAGAGGGGGAAAAGGCTTTTCTTGATGCTGGGGTTCCTTCCATCCTCCATGTCCGTCTGTGGAGCAGAAGACGCACAGCCACAACTCTCAACACAAATCTCTGACAGAAAATAAAAAACATCTGCAAAACCTGGTCCTTAACCACTTAAGAAATATGACTTACTACTTAAATATAAATATTTGATTGTTAAGATACTAGGAAGAAAATTGAGAGTTGAAATTCAGTATTAAGTATTGTGTTTTTTTGTTGTAAATGTCTATGTGTTAACATAATATAATCAAACCAGCCAAAGTATTAGACATTAGCACATCACTACAATACATTCCAATGGGGCAGAATTTTTTTTTTTATAAACCACTTTGGATGTAAAACAAAATGTTGGTTATAATCAAAAGTATGTTTTTTTCCTGCACATTTTTTTCTTCAAATTAACCAGTCTGAAGGAGCCTATTGATAAGGATTTACTACCCAGTAAAAACAAACTTCATTAACAAAGGATAAAATGCAACGAACCAAAGGAAATGTGTGCTGGATGAAATGTCTTCAATGATCTTACTATTTGAGTCTTCTTCTTTTTCTTCTTCATGGCTCTAAAGAAGCCTTGTTTCTCCTTCTCTTTGGCGGGCTCTGGAGGATTCATGACCATTGCTTCTGCTGCGGTCCTGTGTGGCAAATTGGAAAATTGTTCAGACTGTATGACTCATGTTTGTGATTACAAGTTTAGGAGTAGATGGTGACATCTTCGCAGGTGTGTTTCATATGCTAGGGGCACAACCTGAATAGATCATGTTATTAAAGACAGATGCAGATGTTCTTTGAATCCTTCAGCTGTAATGTGCTTTTTCCATCTTGTATGTATTTCAAATGACCAACGCATCGCAAATGACATCCATCTCCATCTGTCAGATGTAGCTTGTCAGCCATTGCCAGATAAACTAAAGACATTTGAATTGCCCTAGAGTAGACTATGGAGAAAAGTAGCCCTTTTTATGTATGTTATAAATGAGTTGTTCTTGGAATCTTGGAGAGTATAAAAACATAAAAGAAACTGTATCTTGGTCACTTCCTATAATACGTATGTGCACAAATGCATAAATACTACAATAACTGCTTATTTTTCTTCTTCTGAAGAAAGTAAACATGAGTTGAATTCAGTGATATTGCCACATGTTTTCATGAATGTCCTTTCAGTAATTTAGTTGCTGTGATAATACGCTTGTAAAATCTTATCTTAGTTAGTGTTGTAAAAGTGAGAACATTTTAATTATTAAATTATGAGATCATTGTACGTTGTTATGTAAAGCTCAGTTCCTAACATAATTAACTATAAATGTGGACGCTTCAAACTGCAGTGTCCTTTACACAGCATTGAGTTCACATCTACTTCAATCAATCAATCGATCAATGTTTATTTATATAGCCCAATATCACAAATGTTACATTTGTCTCAGTGGACTTCACAGTTTGTACAGAATATCAGTATGACAATTGACAGTTACTTGACAGTATCCATCCCTGAAGTCGGCAAACATGCTAGGCCAGTTTAAATAAAAACTTCTCACCAGTCAAAAGCCGTCTGGCGTTTGGAGTGGTTGACCATGACGACAGGGTCTCCGGGCAAATTGGAAACAACCGGCCCTCGACCCTGACCGAGAGCATCGTGGAAAGAGGAAGAGTTGTCGGGTCTGGGGGAGGGGACTTACACAAGGAGAGGAAATTAAACAAAGTTTGAGAGCTGTTGTTAAATTAAGAAAAAGTCTACCTGCCCTGGATGTTTCATTTCAATTTACAACACTTGAATTTCCAAAACCCACCATGTCTGTCTTGTCTATTAAAGCCCAAGTGGCCCAAGCTTTTGAATATGTTTTTTGGCAAGTGTAGAAAAAAAACATAGTTCCTTGATTCTATTTCCTGATATTTAAAATTGAAACTCAACAACTTTGTGTCAAACTCATGTAATTTCACAAGCCATCTATATAGAAAACTACACCACCAAATACAAATATAAGAAGAGAAGTATGCAAGTTTTTAAAAACTTTTAAGTATTTTTGAGGGCTTTTCCTTTCAAATGTTCCTTTATGTCCTTCTCAGATTATCTTTTTTGTAATTGGTTTATCAAGAACTGAACGGTTTATACAGGGCTGTTTGTTGTAAAAAATAAACACAAGAAGATAAGATTTATCTGAGACGTAATTTATTTTACGCTTTTATAATCCTATTTATATTTTGTAAGTTGCGGTGTATTTATTAAACGTCTTGTTTAATTTGCAAATTATGTGGAGCATTTGAATCGCCTTGTTGTTTAAGGGTGCTACACAAATTGCCTTTCCTAAATAATAGCTTTTTTGGAGGACACAGTACACACATTTTGTCTCTTGGTGCTTCTTCTCCTTACCTCGGTAGAAGCTGCCAACTCTCCGAGGCATGGACTCAGTGAAGATCATCCGGTTCTCCTTGGAGGATCCCACATCCTCAACATGAGGGTCGTGATACATGCCGACCTATGAAAACACACACGGATCAAGCAGCCAAACAAAAATAAACATATCTATATAAAGTTCCTCAGTAATTTCATATTTGTGATCAATGATCTAATTTAATTTCAATTGTTTCTTATCGTTAGCGAACACACTCTTTGCTGGCTCACATAAAAAGAAAATCGGGACAATCTTAAAGCTCTTCAGCGTTTTAACACTTATACCAGCGACAACGTGCAGTGAAGCTGTTGACCTTCATAGAAACAGAAAAAGCTATGGAAAACACAGAGTAGGTGGGGGGGGGGGTTGGTCGGACCTCGTTTTTAGAGCGCTGTGTATGATAAGCAGCAGTGTTGTCCCTCGTAGAGTCTTTGATGGGGGCACAAGGGTGGCTCATGTCTTTAGGTGACTGCTCACTCTGTTGAGGAGACGGACAGCGAGGTCAAAGCAGACTGGAAGAGCAGCATGAAGCAGCAGCAATGATAATGTGAGACAGAGACAGTCCCTGCACACACGGTCCACTCGTGAAAAACACACATTTTCAATTAAGCCCCAAGCCTGTTTTTCAGGTTTCAGGCTCGAAAATGACATTCCCAGAACAAATGACCGTATCTTCCATTCTAAAAGGG